GTATGCAGTTTTGTAGCGCATTTAATTTTAGTACATATAATAAAGTGTGAGTTTTAAGTGGCTCGAAAATACCGTTGATTTTTTACAATTTTTTTTTTTTTTTGTTGACCATACTCTCTTTCATATAAAAAATTGTCGAGCACACTTTGTATGAGATAAAATGCGTGACACCGTCAGCGAAAAAAATTCTTAAAAATCAACGGTATTTTGTAGCCAAATGAAATTTGCGTTTTATTATACTAAAATTGCTACAAAACTGCATACCAAAAATTTTTCTGAAAATTCGGAATAAACAGTTTGAAAATTTGGTGAACATTTGTTGAATTTTTATAATTTTTAAACAAAGTTTGAAAAATGGATTTATGTGGTGTTTGTTGTATAACTATAACTTTTATAAAAAAAAAATATTAAACATAAAATAAGCCAAAGAAATATAGCCAAAACTCTTCAAACTAAGGCGAGTCTTATTATATCTGCCACCACTGTATGTATGTATGTATTAGCGCCGGTGGGTCATGACGCCATGATTCGATAACTAACTCTTTTATTGTCGTTTTTCTTTCAACACTTTAATTTGCTATGTAAAATTTGTATTGTCTGTGATGCAGTGCAATGTGCATTTGTATACACTAACCGCGTCAATAATTCAGTAAGCCATACGGTACCTAAATTGCCTCTTAAGTGTTACTTATCCCTGCGTTTTTACAAATTCTTTGCAACATGAGCTGAGGTTTTCATCAGCGCAATATAAAATTCCAATTTTTCAAAGTCAAGCGGTGTAAGTTTTTGTTTTTATTTGTTGTACATTTTAATTCTGCTTCCACGCCTGCGTGTTTGACGTCTACAATTTCCAAATGAGAATAGCAAAAATTAATAAAACAAAGACACATCAGCAGTGTATTATAATATGCAAATGTTCGCACATAGAGATTCTCTAAAATGCCGTCGTAGCCTTCCCATCCCGTTCCGTCTGCCGTTTGCCACCCCTTGTACTCACCTATTTTATATGTATATGTATACCTACTTAATTTTTGTAATTAAATTTTATTTCTCTCGATTTGCATGCATTCTAATTTTATTCAATGCCAATTACATTTTAGACGCTCACTCACGCGCTTTTTCTAACGAAGTGTTAATAAAATGCATTGTAGAGTCGAGGTAAATAATAAATTTTTACAGCAAAATAGCTGAGTGTTATCAGTTAGTAGCAGAGTTTTTCTCAGAAGTAATTAACAGCTCAAGCGAGCCGATTGTGTGAGTCAGGCACTCCGGTCGTAAGCTTAGCAGTGTTGTTATTTTTATTTTTTTGTTTAACTTTAGTCATTGACACAATTACATTTTCAATAGATTTTTTGCATTCGCTATTTTTCCATATAAATATTCATATTTGCTCTGCTCTCCCGTCCGGTATGATAATGTTTATTCATTCATTCATTCATTCATTCATTTTTATTGTTATGAGTACATATTTTTTTTTTCCAATGATAATTTTTGTTTGTTTACGCGCTGCATTTATTTGCAAGTTTTATTTAATTGCGCAAACAGCAGTAGCAGCAATAACAGCAAAGAAAAGAGGTGGCAACAAGCGAGCGGGGCATTTTTTTTCACATTTTTTACACAATCAGCAATTTGTTGCCTATTAGTTTTAGCTTATTTACTTTATTCATATTTTTTTATTATCAACTGTTATGTTTGTTGTATTTATTTATGTAAGTATGTATATTTATTTACATAATAAGTCAATTTTAATCAACGCCAGTGCTTCAGATATGGACGGCCGGCGCGGCGCACACGTGTTATAGGAATGTGCGAATAGCGCCGTTTGCGCAAACTTTGTGGGCAAGGTGCTGAGGTGCTTACATGAATTTATTATGTATGAAAATTTTATTATCTAGTTGCAAATTTTGATTATTTTTTATTTTGTTCTTAGTTAATAATGTGGAGAAGGTTTTGACCCTGAAAATTCCAATAACATTGAGTGATAAATTTAGTTCACTAATGGCTGTTCTTTGTGGGAAAAATATATCACTGAAATTAAATTGATTTTTCCATGCGCTAAAATTGCCTTCTAGAAATAAAATACTTTTGAAAGTTTATTTATAAAAAAAAAAACAGCATCCAGCGAAGGATGGAAATTGTGCTTTTTTCTATTCCGTAAATGGAGGCTAAGGTTTGCATTTTTACTAACAGAAACATTTGTATTTTGTGATTGACTCGGTTTTTCCAAAACTAGGGTTTCCAAATTTTTTGACGGTTCTTTTGAAATCGTGATTTTTAGAATATCGAATAAACCAGAGTTTTGTTATCGAATAAAACGGTTATTCATCTTAAATTTCACTGTAAATTCATTACATAGAGCCCTAGCTGCCCAAAAAGGTGTAAACAACATTTAAAAAATTTTTTTTTATGCACATTTTCACATCAAAAAGAAAATTATGAAAAAAATGCCGCTTACATCCTTTTTGGCGGCTAGGGCTCGATAAATTTTATTTTATCTGAAAGCGCAGTTTTTTTTTTTTTTTTTTTTTTTTTATTTTAAAAGACGATTTTTTGTTGAAAAAAAAAAACAGAAAACAAACACACAAAGATTATAGCTAGTTTTCTGGAAGCAATTCACACACTGAATTGGCGAGATTTTCTTTTCAATTTTTCATTATCCATCACATTGGTTGATAGCTGGCTGCTGTGACCTTCATAAATCATAAAAATGGCTGTCGTATGAATGAATTTCCATAAAAAAAGTAGCGATAGTAAAGAAAAACAAATCGAGAGTGCAAAAAAACTGAATGATTTTTTTTTGTTTGTTTCGCTTTTGCAATGCTTTGCCATTAGGTCGACGCATGTGCTGTTTTGGCGGCAGCACCAGCACTGTTGCCAGTTCAAGCGGCACCGGCAGCGGCAATGGCAGCGCCAGTTCCGGCGGCGCTGATGCAGCAGGTAGGAGGAGAGCTGCACGCAATCAATGATGGAATGAAAATTTTGATTTTTTTAAATTTTTTGGCGTTTTGTTATTGTTCTCATATACATGCACACACACACATAAATACATGCGTATGTAATTGATGTATGCCAAAAAAGTGGCACTGCATTTAAATGCATCCGTGTTTTTTTTTGTCATTTGTTGCCTGCTCAATTTCGATGATGATTGAATGTGGTGTATAGTGTGTATGTTTGTGTGCAAAATTTTAAATGTTGGTATGCTTTACTGACAGTCAGTGGCCAGTGTCACTGTCACTGTGCAACATGACACTTTGGTCTCGCAAATGTTTAATGTTTATGGCATTGACATGGCCTGCAAAATTTTCGGAATGCAATATTTTGTGTCTAAGGTTATGCTGTGGTAATACAGGCGTTGAACTTTTCCGGGAAATTAGAGAGAGAAGCATGATTTCGGAAATTTTCAAACTCACCTCGAATGCGATTTGAATGCGATGTGAAAAAATATTGCCTGCGAAAATGTTTTCGGTGAAATGCCGCAGCTAAAATGTGTATAATCTTTGAGTCTTTAATTTTGCTATGCACTTTGAATATTTCTTCTTCTCGAATTTAAGTCTACACAAGCGTCTACTTTTAGGCGCTTCTCCTGTCTAAATGTAAACTGCTTTTAAATTTTTTATCAAACCTTTATTCACTGGTATTCTTCTTTCTTTCTCATTTCAGGCAAAAATCTGTACAACAATGAACACGTAGCAATAAAAATGGAGCCTATGAAGTCAAAGGCTCCGCAACTACATTTAGAGTATAGGTTTTATAAACTATTAGGATCACATGGTATGTAATCGGTTTCGTTTATTTTAGCTATGAATTAACCTTACCCTGCATACATTTATATTTTTACTTGAATGCCTTTTTACCCTCTCCCACGGTCCCTTAACTAAACAAAACTCTCTTACTCCGTTTGATTAAGTTGCTGAATAGAACCCCGAAATTCTGAAAAATGTTGACATATTCCTTTCTGAATTAAAATATTACTAATATTTTGAAATAAAAGCAACCAAATTCGAATAAAATTTTTCGAGTTCGACTTTTTGAAGTGAGGTTCTTTTAAACCATAGCATAAAAGCTAGCTTTTGGAGTTATGTATTTAAAAAGCTCATTTCCAAATCCGTTATCAAGGTTACTGCACATTTTGCATAGGCCTAAATATATTATAAGCTCTCTTTGACATGCATTAAACATTTTGAAGCATCAAGCGTTGTTTTGAGTTTCGCAAAGCTCTTTCGAAAGCTCTTCAATTTAGATCACAGGCTAACATGCTGAGCTTTTGACAGTTCTCTGCGTAATTTACATTCGTCTAACTCAATGCTGCCGAACTTTGAAAATTTTTCAAAGCTTTTTTTATATGTACATATGTAGATACATACGTATTCTCCCTGCATCCGAGTGATAAGAATACCCATTTCTACACCTCAATAAGGTCCTCAAAAGCAGACTGACTGTGTGTATTACTGCCTTGAATTAGCTTTTAGATGTCCATTGTTTATTTTTGTTGTCTTTAGTGCAATGTGGCACGCGGGTGATATGAAGTAATTATGCTTTAGGGCAGCGATGGGCAGAGAGAGCTTTCACCTTGCACGCGCCTATAGGAAGTGTATAGAAAGCTTAAAAGGGCTTTGTCCGCGGGTAAGGTAATGCCCATCACAACTTTAGAGGCACCTGAGGTAAAGCTTTTAAAAGCTTCTTTCGCAAAGTGACATTTTTATGAAATCAGATCACTCACGACGAGCTTTTTAATGGTGAGCTTTTTTGAATTATAAAAAAGAAACATATTTTCTTAAAAAAGCTTCCCTAGAATTTTCCACAGCTTTTAAACTTAGCGCATTTTCCCCAAGCTTTTAGAAGATTTATAACATGCAATCGATTTATGTGAAAATTTGCACCTTTGGTACAAAACAAAGTTCCATATCACTTCTATAAAAGTCAAATTTGGTTGTTTTTATTTCTCACGCTTTTTATTTATAAACACCCCGCTTTGAAGTGATCTAACTTAGCTTGATATTGTCAAATAAAAAGTCTAGCACCGTTGTCGCCTTCGCAAATTTCACAATTTTTTGGTCTAATAAAAAAAAAACTTTTGGTACACAAAACGAGGGCTAAAATATATAACTTAATAACTACATAGGCTAAGCAGAAAAAATAGATTTTCTCGAACATATTTCGAAGGTCCGGTGCACAAGTGATTTATTGAAAGCAATTTCGGCGTATAAAAATCGCTATAAAATACGTGAGCTAGAAAAACAGAAATAGCGTAATCAAATATTAGCGAAAATAGGATTACACATTTCCAATTTTGTATATACATTTCAATACATATACATATACTACATCCATACATTCACAACGACTGTAGTCTGTAATATCGAGAATAATTTGTATCAACTTTATTTTTTTTATTGTTGTATATTTGCGTATAAATGTTGCTGTTGCTGCGCGCGTGCTTTCCATCTATTGCTAAACAAATTTAAAAAATTTAAACAAAAACTATAAATTCACCAACGCACTACAAATCCTTGAAAAACAAAAAACTACCAAACATCCTTTGAACGCCACCACTACGTCCAAACGATGAATTTATGCCACACCCTGTACACACCTGCCGGATGTTGATGAATGCTTGGATTATTTGCCTACGTCTGCTAACCCCGGATTCATATCAATGCTCATCTTTCACAAACACATCGCCAATTGATCAAATCAACCAAATGTAAAAACCTATAAATCCTTTGACGTGACCACTTTTTGTATTCGAAAACGGCGTAGATGAATGTCCAGAGGGTATACCGCGCGTGTATTATCTGGGCACATGTGGTGGCCGTTATAATGCCATGGTATTAGAGTTATTGGGACTGTCCTTAGAAGATCTCTTCAATATTTGTTCCCGTAAATTTTCTCTTAAGACTGTACTGATGATAGCTAAGCAACTTGTAAGTTTACCACATTATGTTTGATTTATATTTTTTCTGTTCTGCTTACTTTTGTTTAATTTCTATTGTTATTGTTATTCACTTGTTTATCATGTTATCTTAAATAAATTGCGTATTTTGTATGAATACTTTGTTTCGTAATCCTATACTCTCTATATACTGAGCTATGTTTTTCTTTCTAAATTTTATCGTTAATTTTCGTTTTTACAATAAGTTATATGTACGCTATGCTGCTTACTCTGTTTTCAAAAAAAAAAAAAAGTACACATATCTATCTTTGTTTAGTATTAAAGAGTAGTCCTAAATCAGTTATTTATAGCAATAGACATAAGTTAAAAGTGGAAGCAAAAAAAAAAAAAAAAAAAAAAAAAAAAAAAAAGGGAAAAAGAAAAAATTTTTAAAAAAAAAACCCCGTAATAAAAAAGTGGAATAAACCTTAAAAAAAAACGAAATTAGCTGACCTCGAAAAATTCCATTAGCATTCATATAGGCACTTTGTTGATTCCAATATCTTTAGGTGCTTAAAATATTTAAATTTTTCGGAAGCTTCTGCACAGAAAATGTGATTGGTTTCGGTATCTTCACTATCTTGGATCGGTGTTTTACCAAACTTCTCTAGATTTCGATTATATACATACTTATATCTGCAAATGGGTTTCGAAATAAAGTAAGTCTTTATATTGCCGAAATTTCTTTAGAAAGTTATTTTGACCGTCAATGTAGCCACTTGAGCTCTTTTCCGTATTCTTCACAGTTTCAAGGTGATAGTGAAAGTGGACTCTTTAAGTGACTGGCTAGATAATTGATATTTTGGTTAAAAGTGTATAGCGTCGAAAACTCTGCGGGAATTTGAAAAGATTTATAGATAATCCAATATATGTAGGTTTACATATGAGGAGCTTAAAAGAGCTTACTAAGTGGTCGATCAAGTAAATGCAGAGTGATTTGAGTGAGATTCAGTGGGAAAATGAAAACAAAGATTCTCTCCCAGTTTAACAAAGACTACTTGGTGAAGAGAACAAACTTACAGAAAAAGTTCTAGGTCGAACTATAGAAAAGCCATCGATATGTATTTCGACACTTTCTTCAAAAGCTTTTCAGCTTTATGCACCAATGAGCTCGACTTTGTTACAAAGAATCAATGATCATGTGACTGTTTTTTTTTAGATCCCTTTTAGTTCTTTAGCCGCTTATTCCAGAGTATGAAACTAGCAAAGTTCGCAATACAAAATCATCTGTCTACCGAAATTTACTAAACAATTTGTTTGCAATAACACAATTTTTACAATATCGCCGGTCACGTTTATATTAGACAGAGTGTAGATTTGAAAGTTTTATTGCAAAAATATAAACAAAGAGGTTTACATCTGAGAGGATCCTCAGATCTGTTTGCTGTATTGATACGAATTTTTCAAGTCCTTAAGCTAAGGCTTAAAATTTATTGCGATATTAAGCATCGTTAAATTTAAAATTTTCATCAAATAGTATTAGTTAGGAATACGTTTCTTTTTTTATAAATTTTAATTAAACGCTAATAAGTGTCTCAACTATTTTTTTTTTCTAGTTTGTAAATAATAAATTTGTATATATTTTTGTGGTAATCCAAAATTGTTTGCTTTGGTTTGTCTACATATTTAATTATACAATTTATATGCGTCCGGTTTTCACATTATATATTTATATTTTTTATTTCTATATTATTATTATCGTAGTTTGCTGCTTTAGCTTTGTACTCTTCACTTTCCATCTAACGTTTGTTCATTTGTTTTAATTTTCCCTTTGTTGCGTAGTTTATTTTTATCTACTGGCTAAGAATAGGTCTCTTTCTTTACTTCAAGTTGTTTTGGCGATATTTTCGTTTATAGAAAGTACATATAAATACAGTGGTGGAAAAATAAATAGGGACACGACATTTTTAAAAATTGTTCTTATTTGTCTTTTGTTTATTTATATTTCAAACTTTGTACAAAAACTATAAAAATTCTGCTAAATTGCATCTAAATTTTAAATTTTCCAATTAAACTTTATAGAATTTTTTTGTGTATGCAGTTTTATAGCCCATTAAATTTTAGTACAATAAAGTGCAAGTTTTAAGTTGCTAAAAAATCGCGTTGAGTTTTGGCAATATTTTTGAACGCATTTTCTTCCATACAAAGTATGGTGGAATTTTTTTATGAAAAAAGTAATACATTCAGAATAAAAAATTATCAAAAATCAACGCGATTTTTTAGCAATTTAAAACTTCTACTCAAATTTAATCGGCTATAAAAGTGCTTACTCAAAAAAATTCTAAAAACTCTGATTAAAAAGTTAAGAATTTAAATGCAATTTTGCTATGCTTTTATAAAAAAAAATAATAACTACTATTAAATAAGCGAACTAAAAATTGGAAAAATTTGTTAAAATGTCGAGTCCCTATTTATTTTTCCACCACTATATGTACACTGGCGTTAAAAACTGAATGAATGTTGATTTTTTTCAGTTTAAACAAAGATTCAAATTTTAGGAAAATACAATTTTAAAAATTTTATCAAAAATTCACTCTTAATCAGAATTGCAGTTATATATGCGCCTATGTATATGTAGCTAATGAAATACATATTGATAAATTTTTTTCCGTATAAACATGATTTTCTTGTGCAAGAAAATGCCCAGACCGTTCGAAAATTTGTTTTTTTTTTAATTAACGCATAATTTTATAAATTGCACTTTATATATCAAAAAAATTCGCAAAACGCCCCCGCAAAAAAAATCAACACGAACTCTTAAATTCCCTGGGTATACCCAAAAATGTTCTAAAAATACGATTTAAAAACTTGAATTTTAGTTCATTTCTTTTTAATTTCCCAAAAGTTTGAGGCTTTTGCTAAAACAGCATTAAAAGTATTAAAAAAAATTTCAAAAAAGTGTTGGTTTGAAAAATATTGTGAATAATTAAAAAAAAAGCATCACTACCTCAGTTTTGAACGCCAGTGTACATCAGACTTTCCTATTCACTTTTTCTTTTACTTTGCCCTATTTCGTTAAAATTATGTATTAATTTGATTAATAAATCTTTAACTTCGTTAATTTGTACACTTTGTGAATCAGACCTTCTTGTTTGCCGACGCAATTGAACTAACAGACCTTGTAAAAAAATTATTAAATAAAAAATTAGCCAAAACCCGAGTTGGGATTTTTTAGCCAAAGTTACGTTGTGTTTGGAGAATTTTGCTGTTGAAACGTTTTGTTTTGTTTTGCTGGTTTTGTTAAACAACCTTGTCAATATGTTGTTGATTATAGTATTCGATATAAATGCAGTTAACGTTAGTTAATTTTTTTTTTTGTAAATAAATTTGTTTTTAGTATCAAGCTCTTATCTGTTGTTAATTTAGTGAGTTATACGTAGTAGATTGATTTTTGCTGTAGTTAATTAAATTAGATTTACATATGATTTTCTAGCCTCAGAAGTAGAAAATCATTTGTTATTGCTTAGGTATGTACGTATGTATGTATGTAGGTATCCATACATACTTAGTTACTTATATAGTTATGTAAATATTCGTTAGTAGCAAATGCCATTTTCTAAGCTTTGTTTTAATTTACTGAAACTAACAACAACTCACGCGTGACTAAACTCAGCAAAGTTGCTACTAAAAATTGTAAAAAAAAAACATCGAACAATCAACAACTTAACGCCCTCATTGTACAAAATGCCTAAGAGGATGCATTGTACGCAGCCCGATATCTTTGCATGCTTAATCCCAGCCAGCGTCTTGTGTTGCTGGTTCCCCCCCTCCTGACCTTCGCTCGTCGTCCTGTGTTATTTTCCAATGAAACAACAACCCAACAGCCATTTTATTTAGTGCGATTTAAACGAAACAATAGCTCTATAGAAAATTTATTTTAAAAATTATATAAAATATTTATATAAAATATTTATATTTTTTTCGAATTCTAAGGCGCCACCAGATTATATCGACGGTTGAGTGGAAGATTGGCCCTATCTCGGCAGCCGCTTCGAAAATGCCCTATCTCAGAAAATGGCTCAAGAACGCCTTATCTCTCAGAATTTGATTAAAGAACGCCCTATCTCATTTGAAAATATGTTGATATGGGCCGTTTTTGAAGCGGCAGCTGGGATAAGGCGTTTTCGAACCGAATTCTGCCGAGTTAGCTCGATGTTCCATGCAGCCGTCGACATTTTCTTACTTCTTTAAATAAATCAAAATTTTTAATACTAAAAATGTACATATGTCCGTCCAACCACTCCCCGTCCTTTTTTCTCTATCACTCGTAAACTAATTTTGCGAAATGAAATATATCAGTTTTGTATTAGCTTTAATATAAGATGGACCTGATGCACCAAATAGCCAAGTTATATAGTAGCCAAACGACAGTAAATAAAACAATGAAAAATATGCTGTTCCCAAAAACTTGAAAACCGGGCTTTAAATGCATACTTCACAAGCAGAAAAACGAAATATGTTTTGACAAAAGGACAAGGAGTTCGTTCAGAAGCAATATTTAGTAAAGCCGAGAGCCTCACCATTTACGAAATTTGACAACAACGCGTACATACTACTTTGCTCGAAACTGGACTATCGATAACGTGCCTGAAAATTGGCAACAGGGAAATTTGTTAATGAAGTAAAGATGCAATTGTAATATTGAGTATTTATAATTTTTTGCTCAGATTTGAGATACGCAATTTGAAAACATAATTTATTAATTAAATTTATATTCAAATTATCCAGTTAAAGAGATCTGTTGTTGAATAGAAAAATGGCAACGATGTATTTGATCTATTTTTGCATTCTGCATGTTGGTTACAAGCTGTAAAAGCCAAGCAGGCTTTTAACACCGAGTGTACTTGTGTGACACGCCACCGCTGTTAATTTGAAAATCTTAGTTTTCCAACGTTTTGGATATGAGCTTCTAAGAATGAAAGAACATTTTTCTCAAAATAGACTACAAGTTGGAGGAAAGTTCCGGCGCAAAGCTTTGAAAATTTTACATGATTATAAACATATAAATATTGAATTATTATTTCTTGCTTAAACGCCCCCACTTAGTGAATTACTCGCTAAAGAACTGCTCAGTTTTTTTTGTATACCTATGTTATAAAGATAAAAAAAAATTAATTATTTTAGGCGACGCTTTAAAGCAGCAAACTATTCTATTTATTATTACTTAGTAGTACATAATTTTAGTAGTTACTGTATAATTTGCTGTGAGTTGGAGTTATATCGATTTACGTTACCATTATTGTAGATACATATTTATTTTTAAAACATATCTCTAATTATAAGTAAATGCGTGAATTTACGGAAGCAGACTTTTTTCGAAAAATGCTTCGAGAACATCTATTTTTTGTGTGCGTGCAGAGAAGTGCTTGCTACCTACTACTTCGTAGTGCATTCAGAAAAATTTGATTAGATTTTTTTTTAGTTTTGAATGTAGGCGGTGAAAATAAATTATAAGGCACATTAGTAAAGAATTCAATTTCAACAAATCAGCAAATAGAAACGCATATAATTAAATAAATAAATGAATTAAAAAAAATTAAGAAAAATAAAAGGATAAAAAACGAATAAATAAACAAATTTGAAATTTAATTTAGAAAATTTAGAAAAGAATTAAAAAAGTATAAACAAATCAAGAGGCAAGACAACCGCTTTCAAACAAAATAGATAATAAAATAAAATATGTAAAAAAAAATTATTAAAAAATATATAATAAGTACAAAAAATTCAATCATACAAAATGAATAATAGAAAATATATGAAAATATATGTTTTATGTTTACACAATATGTAACAAAAAAAAAATACAAATTAAAGAAAAGGCTATAAAAATTGGAAATATGCAACAATAACGTAAATAAACAAATAATAATAAAAATCAAAAAAAAAAATATTAAACAAATTTCATCGAAAATTTTAAAGTAAATACATATACATATTCAAGTTTATTCCTTTTTATTTTAAAAGAATTAATTAATGAAAATTAAGGAGCGATTTCTCATGTAGATTTTGAAGTGTATCTTTGAACACAAATTTTGTTAAAAAAAAGCGTTTGAAAGGCAGATACATTTAAAAGCTACTTGAGAAAATAAAAAAATATCTATGAAAAAAATAATAAAATAGCGATAAAATGATAATGTTATAATAAAATAATAAAAAGTAGCAAAAAAATTTAAAATAACAAAAATGATAAAATAATAAAAAAATTAAAAAATGAATTAAAACTTATATAGATACTAAAAAACTTAATAAAAAAAAATAAAAAATTAAATAACTAAATTATAAAGATGATAAAAAATACGCAAATATTTAAAAGGACATGCTAAAGATGATAAAAAATAATAATTTAAAAAAGCACAAAAATAATAAAATAATAATAGAATAAAATAAATACCAAATAAAAAAAAGCAAAAAATAAAGAAATTGAAACAAAGAAAATAAAAAATATTGAAAAATAATGAAAATTCATTTGATAACAAGAATTTGCAAAAAAGGCAGAGTAGAATATAAAAATTAAAAGAAAATCATGCTCTAAAATGAAAAAGTAGAAAAAGAAAAAATATAAAAAAATATTAAATCATTAAAAAATTAAAAAAACATCACTTTCTTAAAATATATTTCCTGAAAACCTGAACCGAATTATTTGCTTGCTGCTTCGTGTATTAATATTCGTTTTATTTGTCAGGTATACAAAATGCTATTGTACTAACATTTCTAGTGCTCCACCCATAACCTATCCCTACAAACTTTTGCTGTAAATATATTTGTCATCCTACTTCTGTGAATAGTTTTATCGCATCGACCGAAGCCTTCCCAACAACCGATTCTATAGACTCCTCAGCGCAGTATTACCATAAAACTGCAAATGTTATTAATTTAACTAATCCAACAACAAAAACTTAACAGCCAGCACAGCCGAATCAGACAAAAAGCTGTTAAATAAATCTTCAAAAATTTGTCAAAACATTATGAGAGCAAAAATATTAGTCACTCTGTTTTTTATATATTTTTTTTTTGCGGCAATAACTTTCACTCCTACGTCCTTTTTTGCGATTTTTGTGACATCTTCCCATCAACGATATCCACCTATGTAAATCTATATTCTTTTTTTTTTGTTGCAAAATCCTAAAACAGTAATACCTTTTTAATTTGTTGTAATCTTTTTGTTATTCAATAAGAAAGTTAAAGTTTGCTATTCTTCAATTGTTGTTATAATTATAGCAGAGGGTGTACCCGAAGTATATTACTTCGGTCCATGCGGCAAGTACAATGCACTTGTTATGGAATTGCTCGGTCCATCACTTGAAGATTTATTTGATATATGCGGCAGACGATTCACTTTGAAGACAGTACTACTGATAGCTATACAATTAGTAAGTACACACAACAATTTACTAAAAAAAAAAACAAAAAAACGAAAACAAAAACAAAAAAATTTAAAATACAAATGAAAAATAAGAAAACAAAAACAAAACAAAAAAAGCATAACAAACACCCCATTTAGAATGCTATAATACAAACTAAATTAAGGCAAAAGAAAGAAATACAAATAATCGACTAAGCATCATTACCACTGCGCTTTTATGTATTTGAAAAATAATTCGTAATTAACCAACCGGTTGCTAATGGTTTTTTCACGCTAATAAAATTTTATTAATCAATGTTTTTTTTTTTTGTTTCAAGTCCAAAAGCCTAATATTATCCACTACTACCCTCACCAGCACCACTTAATATGTATCTAAGGACACCTAATTCACCTAAATTTTTATTCACCTTTTAACCTTAGCGCATTATTTTATTTTATTTTTTTTTAATGATACATTCAATTACTATATGATTTTCTGCTTATTATTACATCCTAAGTTTATCCAGCGGTTTGCGCAATTGCTACTAACAAAGAAACAAAATGAAAAGTCATACAAAATAGTTCGAAAATAAAGTTTAGCGCCTATAAGAAGCACACTTTTAGGCGCAGTACCCCCTTAAAGTTGGAGAGCTCCTCGCTAACAAACGGCTGTGGGCTTGCTGGCGTGTCTGGGCGAGTGCAAAGTGGTGTGTGTGTGAGTGTGCGAAAGGTGCGCGAGTGGGGATATGCATGCGATCTTGCAATTGGTTTGTTGCTTTGCTAATGGGTTGTCCACGCTAAGTGAAAAATCAACGGAGTGATCGTGCGAATAAATTTATTAAATTAGAGCAAGCGCTAATATTTTTTTAAATTTACACAACTTAAATTCACGCAGGCTCTTTATAGTAGTTGAACCTTAAAATGTAGAGTAGATGATCGAAAATCAAAATTGAAAATAAGCTTAAATGATACTTTGATTGCACTGAATGTAGTTGGTTCAGTTTTGTTTTTTTTTTAGAGTGTAGCGGAGTTAGTAGATTTTTTTTTTTTGGTTTGCATGCTAGCTTAGTACTTAAACAAATTATGTTTGAAACGTATTCGAATTAGAAGTACAAACAAAAAAAAAAAAAACTTGGCTGTTAAGTTGCGTGTTTCATTTTTCTGTTGATGCTGTTTTTTTTCTTTTCTTTCATTCATTTGTACGAAGCCATTACCTTTTGTAAATGTGCGTAATTTTTTTTTAGAGGAAATTCGAGTTATGATTTTTAATTTTCTTTTACGCATTTTCACTTTATATCCATTTATGATTTTTTTTTATTATTATTAAATTTTTCAAATTTACTCGATATTTTTATGAGCATTTTATATGCGCTACTTGAGACACCACGAAAAAAAATTGTTAGCATTTTATTTAATTTCACTTTCATTAAGCTTACTTGGATTACTCTTTTTTTCTCTCTCAAATTTAAAGTCATTTCTTTTCTCACTCACTTTTTGCATTTTTCTTAATTTCATGCGATACGAAACAAATTATAGCATACATAGCGTACATTTAATTTATTTAAAATATTTTGTTAAACAAATCAAGCATGTCTTATATTAGTAAATACATACTTAATTTGAAATTTATTTTCTTAAGTCACTAATACGCTTTTTTTGTTTTCTTTAAATACAACTTTGTCTCAACTTCAACGCATCTCCAATCAGCTCCACCGGATCGAATATGTTCATAGTCGGCACTTAATCTATAGGGATGTGAAACCAGAGAACTTCCTCATAGGCAGAACATCGACGAGGCGAGAAAAAATTATACACATAATTGGTGAGTACTTATTTAATATACAAAATTAAAAAGAGAGAAAAACAAAAAAAAAAAATGTGTTTACTCTAAAGAAGCGTCGAAGAAAGTTTAAGGTCGATTTTTTAGGATCGACAAATAAGAAATTTTATGAATAAAAAAATTTTCAAAAAGAAAATATTTTTTCTAAATTTTTCCATACAAAAAATGTTCAACACACAAAAAAAAAAAATTGCCGAAAACCAAAGCGATTTTTAACAACTTGAAACTTGCACTTTACCATACTAAATTTTAATGTGCTACAAAATTGCGTACTCAAAACAAAAAAAAATATTGAAGAACCATAATTTGAGAATTTTTTCAAAACTTCAAGGAAATGAGATTTTACTCTACCATGTCCTCAGCGATGTTACTACAAACTTATAGAATTTCAAATAATTTAGTTCAGTGTCTGCTGTAAGACTCAGAGAAATCGGTTTATGGAAAGATAAAATGATCGGGTATAGGAGCAGGACATCGATTAAACACTACCTTGAATAAAATTCCACCGGCCATTCGGGCTCCTTGTCGCTTAAAAGCCGACTGGAACGTCGAACGAAAGTTTTTTCAGGTAGAAGTAGTAAGGAAGGTAGAAAGTCGAAGCTGATTAAGAAGTCCAGAGCTCTTCTCAGTAAAATTACTTTGAGTTCCTAATCATCCCAACATTCACCGAAATAAGGCTGCTGAGCTAGCCAGGGAGGGTTACATATTGATCTCAACTGATAGCCGGTCAGATCCGAATCGAAACTGTTTTCTCCACAATCTTCTTAGGCCATAGGTGGTGCAGGGCTCCAGGGCTTCAGGCTGCTATTCGGCCAAACTTATGTGGCCCGTATACAATCCAAAAAGTACACAGAGCCTGTTAGGAAAACCCAGACTTGACGTTGCGAGGCTAATAGCGGTTCTTGCTGGTTGGCACCCACGTCAGAAGGCGTTAAATTTTTCGACGATATTCTAGCCTAACCTAACGAGAGCATTATTACATTAATTAGATATTTATTACTTTTTCTAACTCCTTTTTTCTCTCTCTCTCTTCCAACAGATTTCGGTTTGGCCAAAGAATACATTGATTTAGATACAAATAGGCATATACCATATCGGGAGCATAAATCTCTCACCGGCACCGCACGCTATATGTCAATAAATACACACATGGGCAGAGAGCAATCAAGACGCGATGATTTAGAAGCATTAGGACATATGTTCATGTATTTCTTAAGAGGTTCACTGCCGTGGCAAGGCCTTAAGGCTGATACACTTAAAGAAAGATATCAAAAAATTGGTGATACAAAACGTGCAACACCCATTGAGGTAAAGTTTATCAAATTGCATTTATGTATATATATCTCGGCTTGAAACAAAAAAAAAATATTAATTAAAAACTATACCCGCTGCAGGTGCTTTGCGATGGACACCCCGAAGAATTCGCAACTTATTTGCGTTATGTGCGGCGATTAGATTTTTTTGAAACGCCCGATTATGAGTTTCTGCGAAGACTGTTTCAAGACTTATTCGATCGTAAGGGCTATGTGGATGATGGAGAATTCGACTGGACAGGGAAGACAATGGTACATACAATTTTGAATATAATTTTCTTATAATCATACACATAATTTTCCTATTCATTTGGGCATATATACATTTTTATGAATGCAAGTACATTAAGATGCATAACTCTCCATACGAAAAAAAAAATCGAAACTGTTTTTCCATCGTAATTCAAAAATTTCCGCTAAATATTTAAATTTACGTTAGCTGTACGAATTGAAAATACCTCTAAAAATTTCATTATTTTGATTCCTTTCAAAAAAAAAATGTTTTGGAGGTCTTTTCAAATCCGCCCAACTCACGTAAAAAATCGCGATGTATTACTCTCGGTGATCTTTAAATATAGTAAACTTTATAATTCGCTTCGAAAAACTGCGACGTTGGTGAGGCACCCTAATGTACATATGCATGTAATAATTGAACTTAGGTATTTAAATGATTTAAATGTATATATTTATACACTCATATAAAATAAATTAGTAGACAGAAACGGGGGAAACAAAATGCCACATAATACTACATTCAAATGCGCATACAAATCATAGTTATCTTTGTTCTATCTATTCTTATGCATAATTTGATTAAGCATGTCTAAAAAGTGCTTGCACTTATTTAGCAGTTGATATGTAAAAACGTAGCTCGGAAATTTTAATTTTTAAATTTATTTTTTTTTTAATAATTTTTTTTTTAATATTTTTTTTACATAAAAAATTTTTTTTGCGTTTATTTATTTTATTTTTTTTTAACAACTGAAATCTAACATATTTTGAATATATTTTTGCTTTAATTTTTACTATTAATAGCATTTTCTTTTACTAATTGCACTAAATTTGACACATTTTCCTATTTTCTTCTTCATTATTTAATCAAATTAATCATCAAATCAAACAATCAAATTCCTCATTGGTTTCATTTTCGGCGAATTTCATCTGAAAAAAGGGCTCAAGCACAAAAAAGTTAGTTGATAAATTTTAAAAGAAATCAATTTTTTGAGACCAGTAATTCAAAAAGCAACCTAAAAACCCTATAAACTAGCATTCAAAACTTTGTGCTGTCATCAAATGCCACTGCCGGAAATGTTGTAACATCAAGCAAAGAAATAAGTAACCTATGCCGTTTCCAGTTTCCAATTGCATATCCAGCAACGAACTGAATTCAGCAAACTCGAAATCAATTCTAAAACTGCATCAAGTTAAAATAAATTTCTGTTACTAACATCACTAAGTACAGCTTTCCTGCCGTTGATGACAATATTGTATACATGTATTTACTATGTATGTTTGTTTTGTATGTGTATATGTGCTGACAAAGTTACATTGTATTTGCTGCTGCGGGCTTACTCAAATCAAGGATATAAAATACAAATCGAATGAGAAGGGCGAAAGTGAAGCACAGAGAAGCCAAAATGAAATTTTCAAGCCTGCATTAATGTTATGTAACATCAACAAATATGTACCTGTAATAGCGCCTCCTCTTTCTATTTTCAAACTACCCATTGAAAATTGAAAACATAAAAAGTAAAAGAAAAAACACAAACTCTCTCATTCCAAAGCACATAATATAACAAATCATTACAAAAAATAACTATCGTACTACAATTTAAATATCTATTTGTATAGAATTATTAACATTATATTATTAAAAAGAAACTAATTAACTGCAAAACAAAACAAGAATATTAAATATAAATTAAACGATGCAATACCATAGTCACAGCTGGAAAGAAAATAACCGAAAATTTACATTTATAACTGGCACTGGTTTACTAAGTATTAAAAAGTCGAATTCAAAGTGATTATTTGAGGTCAGTTATGCACTGCATATAAATTTCTTCTTTTAAATTAAACAATTTGAAATGGATTTATTTTGAAACTGAAAGATAACACTGTGTGAGATCCATTTCACATGCACTGGTTTCCGGTTATCTGGCAGCGGTTTCGTCTTTTTCTTGATTGGCGCTGTAACGCCTAGCGAGTCTCACCGAGTCCTATAACGCACGCTAGTCATTAATTTTCTGTGCACAATGACGCCAATTCGATCTCGAACATGTTGTTGTTGTTGTTGTAACAGCATACAAATTCCCCAAAGAGTTTTTGGGGTGTGTTGCTGGAGTTGCAGTCTTTGGCCAGATATAAATCTGGATCGTTCCGGTTACGTAGATCCGACTGTCGTGGGAACGATCTCGAACCTGTCAGGACGACTAATGAAGTCGTCGGAGGCTGGCGCGAAGGCATAAAAGGATGGCCGACTCGATGCGTCTTTACACAGACGGATGGAAAAGGGAGAATGGTGTAGGTGCTGTGGTAAATGGCGCGAAACTTATAAGCTGTCATATTATTTTAGTACTTTTCAGGCGGGAGCCCCTTAGCCATGAAAAAAGTAGCGAATTTTATGGGCGAAGTGGGTTCTGAGTTATTTTCAGGAAATGTGTAAGGCACGGAGTGATTTTTGGGGTATATACTCTGTGAATGTCTAACTCTTAGCAGGCTGCGTTCGACCCCACGTACATAGGTTAGCGAAACGACGTGAATTGCGATCATGGATTGTTATTTCCGCAACATCTTGCCTGAGATTTGCCTACGATAAAATCATCAGCTAAGTTGAAGGCAAGCAAAATTTTGAGGAAGAAAAGTTTATATAAGAACTTATTTTTTTGAATCCGTCATTCGCTTTTGTAGCACTTTTTTTTTTGATTCATCATGTTCGGAAAAATAAATAAAAAATTAAAAATTATTTTTTATTTATTACCATTTATTTTTTTAATGCAATCGCAAAAAATTATTTTTTTTTGTAACTACTTTTGTGTTTGCATGGATAAAACAATGTTTTATATATATTTTTTTACTTTATTACCAAATCGGATATAAAAAAATAAACCACAAAAGACCAAGGAACAACTCGAACAAATGAAGGTCATAAAAAATGCGCCACCTTCACATTTAGCAAAAAATAAATCAGACAAGGTATTTTTAATGTTTTGATTTTCTTTGTCATGTTCATTTGGCTAATACAAACTGCTTGTAATATTTTGTTTATCGCTAAATGCATTTGAAATGGCTAAAAAAGAAAAATACAAAAAGCACACACACACACAAAACAGTCAACCAGCATAAGCACAAATTACAACACAAAAAACACAAAATAACACAGATACAAAAAATAAAAATAAAAAACTATGTAGTTCCAAAACACCGCAGGAATATGCTAAAACTACTACTTGAAGTAAAAGAAAAATCAGTAGTTAATGCAGAACTTGTATGTATTGCATTATTTATGTATCTGTGTATGTACGAATGTTTTTAGTAGTTATTGGCATGTTTATGTATCCACGGTATATTATTTTGTGTAAACAGGTAAATATTTAGAAAGTATTCTTATGATCATAAAAATTTTGCTCAAATTAATTATTTTCTTAGAATGCTAAACAAAAATTGATCTACCCATCAAAGTTGAATGCTTTTAGTAAAATAATTTTGCTGTATACCAGCTTAGGTGATAAGCTATGGTAAAATTACATTTGAAAAGCTGGGTTTTGCTGCAGAGTAGCTTGGAAAAATATTTAAAATGTGGTGAATTTTTTAAGAACTGAATTTTTTTTAAGGATGATTTTGAAACCGCGCCATTAAGAGTGCGATGAAATTTACTGAATTTTTTCAATGTGGTGAATTTCTAAATATGTGGTGGTTTTTTAAACAAGTTAAAACACGGTAAATGTGAAAATAATTGATAGTGAATCCTTTTTAGAATTTCAAAAAAAAACTTAAAAGTTTGAATTTTGTTGAGAAAAAAGTTTATTTAATAGTAATAAATATATCAACAAAATTTACAACGCTTTTTTAGCATAAGTAACGTTATCGCTAAGATTTGCTGGCTCATGAATAGCGTAGCAAAGTCATTCGATTCTTTGTACTTTTTACAAAACCAAGTTTTTATCGAGAAAAATAAAACATTATTTATTATACGTTGGCTTTAAAACCCATACTGAATACCCTTATTCACCACACCAGAAACTGTTCTGAATAATGTATCGAACTGGCTTCAATTCCTTGATTCCGTATTGAAATAAGCTGACCGAATTTTAGCTTTTGTGAAAAGTTCAAAGAAAAAATAAAATAAAATAATAAGTTCCCGTATGCGCTAAGTATCTGCCTACATATGTAGTTAGTATCTACTAGTATGTTTGTATGTATGCCTCTGTATATAATACAGATAAAAATATGTATGCTATAACATTTCTTATTTTGGAAACTTAAAATTTTAAAATAACTAATATTTGATTCTTGCATTTTTTATTCCATAAAACTCATACAAAAAAAAAAAAAAATGTGTTATGCTGCAAAATCATCGAATTACCATCACTACCAACACCACCACCTCAATCAAAACAACAACAACCACCAACTACTACTAACCCATCAATAAATCAAAATTCGAAATCCACAATCAATGAACAAAAAAATCAACTGGTGTTTTGCGTGTTTGTGTCTCTATGTTTACCACAACAAAACCTACCGCAACCAACCAACCAACAACAACAATCAACTAAAATGCAACTGCAACCTTTGAATATCTCTTGCACCTGTACAAAATGAAAATTGGTTACAAAATCTAACAAACGCAACGCAAACGAAAATGTATTTACTGCCTGCAAAATTGCAAAAAAAAAACAAAAAAAAAAAACAAATCTGTCTGTCCTCACCACTATATGTGTATATGTACTACTATGTCACAAATTAATCGATATGTATTTAGTCAACGCCCGTCGGATCTCTGCAAACTGGCCATGAAGTCATCATTTCACCAAATAAAGATCGTCATAATGTAACGGCTAAGGTAAGCGCAATTGTTTACAAATTTTAGCAAATATCTTTCACTTGATTAACACAAAATTTGCTACATAAAAGTCGGTGAGAAATATTATTATCCAAAAAAAAAACGAAAAAAAGTAGTTCCACATTATCGTATCATCATTCTCATGCCGTATACTAAACCCATTAAAGTCACTTAGACCATAATCGTACATAGATTTGCATTTACATATATATATTAACATTTAGTTTAGAATGATTTTAATATTTTTTTTTTTTTTTGTACAAAAAATATACTTTTAATTTATACTTAATAATATTTAGTAATAAGTTCAAGAAATCTACTTATTTTTTTCGCACTGTACACTGGCGACGATCGAATTGCTCTCTCTCTCTCTCTCTCTCTTGCTCTCTTATTTTCCACTCTTACTCTCTTTCGACAACCAAACTACTTAAACTATACTATGTATTCTTTTTCGTCGCTCCCCCCCTTAACGAACTTTTACTTTGAGGTGTTTTAGGATATTTCATATTTTGATTACGAGGAGGATGATGATGATGATGATGGTGATGAGGAATATTTAATACTTGAGGTTAGAAAGCTGTGTCTGTGGTAGCTTGGCTAGTAGAAGAAAAAAGTATAACAAATTGAAAATATCGCTAGCTTTAAACATTTGCCTATGTACCTCAGAAACAAAAAAAAAACAGGTTGAAAAATCGCTCGTCCTGCCCATAGTACTTCGTTAGAATTTTTGCGCTGAAATGTACGACTATAATAATATAATGCTTGTGCGTGCTGCTTATTTATTAATGATTAAATCCAAGTATTTTGGCTAGTATTTAAGTGCATTTAGCGGGAGTACTTTTTTTCTTAAAAAAAATTAAAGCTTTTACTAAAAATATAATTTTGTATACTGTATATTTAATCATAATTGCTAGTGTCTTGCCGATTTTTTTATTTTTATTAGTACATACATTCTTTCATAATAATGATTCTACTAACAAATCAATGAGAACAAAAGAAAAATGCATTCTCTCCACCCAGGTTGTTGGTATAAAACCGGTGCTTGGTTGACTTAAAATAAAAACTTACAATATATACAATTAAAACTGTAATAAAGGTAGCATTTAGCTCAACAAAATCCAGCATAAAGAAGTTAAATTTAGGGTTAATGAAAACGTTTGAAAATAAAGCCCTCGACAATGCGTGCCGAAAGAAGTTCTACATACTTGGAATAAATTGCATATTTTTACTTACTATGCCGCCCTAAATGTATGCGTATTTCGCTTCTATTGAGAAATTCGAAAATCAAGTATTTATTATCATTTTGAATCTTAAAATTACTATATCGGTATATAAGCAAAAACAGTAGCTGCAGAAAGGCTGATGCATAAAGTTTCAACGGCATTGTAAATGCGAAACTCAAAACTTAAAAAAAAAATAGATGTACTTGTGAATAATCGTTTTGCGGATAATAAAACATACTTAGCGAATTTCTTCAGGTTTTTGGGAATTAGAATTTTCCAAATTTTTCGATGTTTTGAAAATTTTTATACCTCCAAAGGTTTCCGAAATTTCGAAAAATAGTTTTTATGATTGAAAATGTAATATGAAAGATATTTTATATTCATATGGAAAATAAATTTTTTCAAACTATCGATGGTTTGCGGATTTTTAAGATTTTCGAATTTTCAGAACATTGTATGTATTTTTGGAAAATTTTCGAAAATTTCAAACTTTATTACAGCTTAAATTTTATGACATTTTCTTTAATTTTTGGTAAAGTGAACGGTTTTAATGGCCACGCACGAACTTTTTAACATTCTTGCTCGAAATTAAAAATTCATTTTTTTATGCTTGTATTAAATAGAGGTCTTTTGATAAAAATAAATTTCAAAATTTTTTTTTTTAATTCTTTTCTTTTTCACATTTATCTGATCTGAAATATAAAATTATTGTAAATGTTTTACTTTGGAAATTTCAACAATTTAATTCAATTCTCGACAGGCAATGAAAAGGGCACTTAAAATGTTTAAGTAATTCAAAGTTCGAAAATTTTCAAATACAATTTTCATAAATTTTAAGCATTTACCCATATTCAATTTTAAGCTGTGAACCGAAAACCTGAACTTTATGCAACGCCTTTAATACTGCTCAACTACCGCTTGCCTCCAGTATCGATTTCCACAATCCATTAACCGCAACGTTTGATTGCCTTGAGTGCAGCAAGCTAAAATTGCTGTTGTGCAAGATTGCAAAAATCACCTTGGGTCTACACAAAATGTGACGAGCAAATTTTATTGGCTTTAAGGCCATCATAAATACGTACATACACATTTACACCTTCGATGCTTACAAATAAGTATGTATGGTAGGAGCGTGTACGACTGCAACACATCCATCAAATGAGTTATCACCAATTCATAGTTATTGCAATTCGCATAAGTCCAACAACAGCATACTTTTTTCGCCATCCTCTTTACCCTTCTACCCAGCCATAGATGGGGGACTGCGGAAATAGTATTTTGCTGCACAATTACTCGCATTGCCAATGGCTAAACGAACTTTAGTTAGTTGTATTCTACATGCACACACACACACACACACATTCGCATACGGCACCTTAATCATCGTTGTCGTAGCTATTTCAATCGTCAACTCATCTGCCACCTTCCGTTCATCCAAATCATCCATCAATCGGCAATCCATCCACACAACCCAACCATGCCCCCACACTCGTCCGCCTCTGCTGAGAAATTTATCCTTGAGCGCCCAAGCGTGTGTGTGTATGGGTGTGTGTGCTGCTTACGCATTTATGGCAGCACCTGCAATCAACAGTCTGTCTGTCCTTAGCTGCCAGTTAACACCTCTCACTCCTGCACTGCTGGTGCGAGATTTCCTGACTGTAGCTGCTGCCACTATTTCCTTTAGCCATTTCACTTTCGCGCAATATTCTTCGTTTGCGGCTAACATTTCCTCTCTACTTCAATTTCCTTTCCATCTACCGTTTCGTATTCTATTTGCATTTCCTTTTCTTGCTTCTGTCACACATTGCACATTTGGTTGTAGGAGGGGTTTATCTATACATACATACATACTTTCATTCATACATACATATATGTAGGCAATCATTCACTCACTTACTCCCGCCCAAGCAATCATACATACATACATACATATTTCACCTCCTTTCTTTTCTTGTAAATAATCACCGTTAGAGAATAGCATAATTTCCTTTAAGCGGAAAGTACGTACAATAGGCAAAATTTTGTATTCGCTAGTTTCACAAGTGAATTTTTTTTTGTATGTATTTGATTTTTACTTTGAATTTTGCATAACTTTTGTAAAAAAAAAGCAAATGCAAATTGTTTTTTGAAATTTGTGAAAAACCTGACACTAAAATTAAAATTTATTTTTTCAATCGATTTTGCCTCTAAAAAAATACAAAAAAAAAAAAATCGAAAAATGCGTATTTTGAAACACCTTTTTTGCTGCCGACCGACCAACAACAACAACTAATCACTTCCGAAAAAATACAAAACCAAAAAACAACAAAAATATGAATCGCGTCAATGTCTACTACAATAACTAATCATCATCATCATCTCGAAATTTGCACCACTGCCGGCGCCTGCCAACCACCAACTATGAATGTCAACCAATCAAATCAACACTTCTGCGCCTACCTCAAACCTTGTGCTACGTGTGACCTGCGGCTAATTACATTTATTGTCGGACCTATTTATCGCGCAACCTATGACCGTCGCCTGGGGATTTGCTACCCATCGCATTCGCATTCGCTTTGGCTGCTGCTCCGGCCACCTTGTTGATGATGGTGGTGATTGTTGTTATTGTTGTTGCGCTGGGCCTTTATTTTTGGTTGGCGTGCACATGTGCTCTTCTGCTCAATTTCGCTCACAAAATGCAGACAAATGCCAAAGGAGGTGTTGCTGCGTGGCCGGATGTGCCAAAACCAGGCGCCACCCTGGGCAATCTAACACCAGCCGATCGGCATGGTTCTGTGCAGGTAAGTTTCATTTGCTCTACTACTAATCTACAAAAACAACGAAAAAAATTATGTAGGATTTTTTAAGCAAAAGCAAAAGACAAAAAAAAAACAAAAAATAGTTGACATTTTGTTTTTGGTTTTTGTTTTTTTTTTTTTTTTGTGCAATTGACTAGTAACAAAAAGTTCACTAACTAATGATACCGTCACCACTAATATCGAAAATCACACATACACACAATCACACCCACTCGAGCTAATTGAGTTGTTGTTCATGATGATGATGATGATGATGATGATGATGTCTGTTTGTAATACATATTAAATAAAACTTCCCATTCTCCCTTGCAAGTCCTACAAAGCATAAAATGTATTTGCGCCCAATCCGCTATTTGCTCGCCGTCCTTGCATTTTGTATTAACTTTTTACTAAAACTAGAATTTGTTTTGAATTTGTGTGTGTATGTTTGCATTATTGTGACTAATAATAATTATTTTTTTTTGTGTTATTAGAATTTTTTAGGCATTTATAGAAAGTTAAGTTTCTTGAGGATCGACTTACCTTTACCGCGGTAGCGACGATTTATAGGAACTTTTTTTTTTAATGACAACCTACTTTAAGATTAATGAGCAAACCTCACCAGTTGTTTTTTTTTAGTGGCACTCCCTTCTCTCGGCAGAAAAAAACGCTGAATTTGTTTAAATCAGTGGAGTTCCAAAAACAAGTAGAATAAAAAATAAATCAAGTATTCGAACAATTTTAGCCTTAAAACGTTTATTCAGACGAAAGAGTACCGAAATTACTTACTTTTCATTGTCACTCGAAAAAATCCTTTTTTTTTATAACTTTGGGAAGTTTTCGAATAGAATGTTCATCTTAGAGGCAATAAAAGTTGGCATCAAATACAGCATATTTGTAAAGTTTGAAGAGTGTGGCACCGAATTAAAAAAAAATGGCAGCGTCGCTGCAATTTTGTAATTTTTGAAATTTAACGATTTTTTCATTTTAAAAGTTTAATATACATATAGATACTATGCCGAAATACACAATAAAATCTAAATTTTTTAACTTTGGTTACAAAATTGCCACGCAAATTTTTTAGTATATTTTCCGATTCTAAAATAAAGTTGCGGAACAAATGTGGGTAACGAGTGATATTCTGCCGAAATCGACAATAAAATTTATTTATTTTTATGGGTTTGTCGCCTTAAACAAAATTTTTTCAGTACAAACATATTTCTGAATGGGTATTCCGTCAGAGTCCGCAATAAAATTTAAATTTTTGCAAAAACATGTTTTTTGAAGGGGACCAATCAAAAATAGTTAATATTAAAAACAGTTTTCTGATCGAAAAATATTAGGGCTGTTCAGGATCTTGTGCAAATAGTCTTAATTTTGCATTTGCTTTGCAAATTTTGTGCTTGCTGCCATGGCAACCGTTTTGTATTTTATTGTTGCAAATTTACAAATGCATCGAATATTCAAATGCAAGAGCATATGCACAAGGTCCTGAACAGCCCTATTGATTTTCAAAAATTCCATACCATTTCTGCGAAAGTGTTTTTGCCCATATAAAAACATGGAAACCTTCATGGGCTTTGGGGCAGTTTTAAATATTCTTTTTTTTAACAAAAATACGGGTATTTTTACCATTAACATTTTAAACGTGTTCCCCCGAATGTATTTTTGGGCCACCCTTATGTATATTCATACTCGTATAAGTATGTATGTATAAGTGATGATAATTTTTCACTAATTGTAAGTTCTTCAGTTTCTTTGTGTTCATCGTTAAATTGATGCGTTTGGGAAGTATAATAGGGATACAACCCTTTACTTCCCTCGTCGAATACTTTCCTTGTTCGATATTCACTCAGTTGATTTTGATTATTTATTTAAATTATATTGAGTCCCAAGCTACTGATTTACAGCCTTATTATCTACAACACCATGGGCGTAGCCAGGTAGGGGCAGGGGGGTGCTCGAGCCCCCCCCCTAACTTTCAAATTTTCCTTATATATATATAAAATAGTACCCTGAAATACCAGCTTAATAGGGTCGAGCCCCCCCTAAATTTCATTCTGGCTACGACGATGTACAACACATACATATCTCGAAATATAGGCCACAGGGACGATTCGTCTGCGGACGATATTGTCTCTGTTTGTAATTTTGCAACTCTATCGTTCATCTTTAAAAAAAAAGGAGAAGGTTATCGGAATATTTAATTTTTTATTATTTTTCTTTTTTGTATGTATGTTACCGCATAACTTTGGACCACATTAACCGATAATTCGTTTTTCATTGGAAAGCTGGTACCTCAAGTGTGGTCCCATAATAATTTTGTTAAAATCCAATAATTGTATCGTGAAGAAATTAACGATAGTCTTAAATTTTTATATGAGAATTGAAGTCGTTTTTTTTTTTTGCTTAAAAATTACTTGTTTATTAAGCACTGTATACCCATCATTCGTGCGGCGCATCGTTAGTGATATTTAGATAATAAGGCTGTTGGTGTTTATCCTTATTTCCGAGTTCACAGAAGTGGTTTGTTTGCCAATAAAATTAAATCTCACACGGACAACACTTCTTCATATGCCTTCACCCACCTAACCATTCAACAACTATTCATTGTTTTTCCCCCTTCTTTAGCTTGTTTTTTTTTAGTTGTGTGGAACGAAGTCATATACTATTGCATCCCTTCTCGAATCATAATTTGCATAAACCATCTCTTCTAGTTATATTTAATCTTGCTATGCATCAGTTTCTCTAGTTCTCTTTCTCTCTATTATAATACACTCTTTATCTTATTTACTTCTGTACATGCTATTTATACTTCTTGTATATTAACAATTATTTTTGTATATACTTACTTATCCTACCTACAAACACACCTACATTTGTGACTTGCCAATATTTGTATAAAAAATCGCTCGTTCGTTGCGTTGCGTTACATTGCGTTGTCTTGCATTACGTTATACCCGTACTCTACTCTACTCTACTCTACTCTACTCTACTAATCAACTGTGCAGACAATTATATTTTTGGCCTTTTCAATTGTAATGTTTTCACTTGATTTACTCTACATAAACTCAAGGTACTCAAGTGTGTTTGTTTGTTTATTTGTTTGTTAGTTAATTTGTTAGTTTGTTCAACTGTTATTGTTTATTAGTTTAATCAACTCTATAAACTATTTAAATAACCAGAGAATTTTAGCATACATGAATCGTTGTGAATTTTGTTGTTGACCTAATTGATTTTGGCATTGACTACTGGCATCGTTCCAGTTGTGGTGTTTGTTTTTTTTTTTTAATGCCAGTTGAATTTTTCGTATCAATATCATTGTGAGGAATGCTCTTTTAACGTTTCTAAGTAGTCTACTCCTATGAAGTTTTTTAATATTTTTTTTTGCATGTTTTCATATGCTAGTTAAAATCTTTTCACTCTTATGGCTGTTTTCTCAAGTGGATTTTAAAATTAATCTGCATGTTAAACACAAATTTTGTTCTGAAAAAATAAAAAATAAAATAAAAAATGGGTTTGAAAGACTGACAAATTTTAGCCCTTCTTGAGAAAACGGCACTTAGTGATTTAACTTTATATTGAACCAGCACTTCTTGTCGACGTAGTCTGACTCTTTTTTTTTGAAGACCGAGTATGCTCTATTCAATATTTTTCACTGTAGATTGCACTTGTTTGCATGTGTACAATTCTTCTAGCGGGAAGCACAGTAAACATTTGTATGGAAAGGTTTAAGTATTTAATTTGAAATAAAATGTCGAAAAATTTAAATAAAATTATTTAAATGCTCTGCTCTTTGGCCGACTATGGAATACTAAACACACACAATACTCACCTTATTGCGGTAGTCAGAATATTAGCTTAATAACCGCCAGTTACGGGGTATCCATTTTATAAAAAAAAAAATTGTCTTCTATACACTTCAAATATTACGATCAGTAATCAGCTTAAGACTCGTAAAAAGAAAACATAAAAAATATATTACGAATTGATTAATTACACTAGTTTACACGAAGAAAGAATTTCGCTAAAAAGTGTTCTTTTAGACTTTTATTTAGGAGCGCTAAACATGAAAATAAGCATTTACTTTTCCAAAGAAAAACGTTTTCGGGATATAAAAAAAAAAACTCCAAAAAAGCGAACGCAACTCATCTTCTTTGGATACCTTTCGAAAAATATATTTAGCCACATTGCGTGGATATATTTGTTTTTTGTCAATCGTAATAGTACTTTTTGAGTTAGTTTTAGGCCTCTATATTCGAAAGATAAGGAAATTTCGAAAATTGTTTATTTTTGTTCATTTCTTTCAGTTGATAAACGTTGTAAAAAAAATCTTAAGTTACGAAGGCGAAATACAATTTTATAACGAAAATGTGAAGCGTAAGAGCGCCCAGAAAATGTTAAACTTTTGACAAATTTAATAAAAAATTCAATTTCAATTTTTGTTACAATCACTCTTTCAGTTGAAAATGTGTTTTCCAAACAAACAGCAGAAATGTTTAAAATTAAGTTAAGAATTTTGGAGCCTCAAAGGGCTGTTTCATGTGTTTAAAAGGGATAAAAAAAGAGCTAGTGGCTAAAAGCAAACTACCGGGGCAATTTAAAACAAAAAGAGCTAAATGTAGCACCCAAAAGAATCAAAATGGCAACACTGGGCTTTCGCCACGAATCGCGTAAAGTGCGCTTGGGTATGTGCTATTTAAATTGTTTACTCTAGAAATGACATTATTAGCTAGTTCATAAGCTGAAGAAAAAGTCTTGGGTTTTTTTTTTAAATAAAATGTATAAATAAATACATACGTCTTTTACTGAAGCTCATTCATTAGATATAAGAGAAATTTCTTATTAATAACTGCCATAAAATATTAATTCGATGATTTTATTTAATTTTTTTAATGGGATATGTCAAACCCCACCTAGAATAGGTTAACAAATAAATTTTTTTTAAGCAGATTAGAAATACATAATGTATATATTAAGTATAATTTCCAATTTTCACATCATTTATTTGAAATCGCCTGAGTTTATTTCAGTTCGGTTTTCGGAGTAGTGTGTTTTCTTCCTTTTTATTCGATGTGCAAATCACTTTTGTGCATCATTGGTTTCTAGTTTTCGGGAATCTATATTTGTCCGCATGTCTATTTGTGGAAAAAAAATTTTTTTTTCATGCGGCACGTATGCATAAATTTAATGTAAAAGCATATAAGGTAAAGTGGTTTTCCATTGCATGACTTTTATGCGACTAAGTTTGCAAAAATGTTTCACATTTTCTATAGATTTCATTCTTAAAACTACAAAAACAAAAATGGTTGGTACATATTTTGTGCATGAGAAAAGCATAAAATTACATATTTAGCCGCAATTAACCTTTCAATAAGTAGTAGTGGCAGAAAGCATGAGCAATAAGAAAAGCAAGTAATCACTCACTCGCTCATTTCTCTCATCAGTCATCGGGGGCAGAGTTTCCCGCTTCAAAAGAAAGAAAAATTTTGTTGGTCTTTACTATGTTTTTTTTTTGTTTGTTTGTTTCAAATACAACAAAATGAAAACCTGCAGCGTAATCCCGAAGACTCAGGCTCCGATGATGATAGTCCCTTCGATGCGTATTATGAAAAGAGTGACTGTGAAGTGTCTATACATGCGCCAGTGGCCAACGATGAGCAAACTCCCAAGGCGACGGAAGTGAAGAATTAAACTATGAATACAAACCAAATACAAAAAGAAACATAGAAATACACAAATTTCTAAACAATTTACCAGCTTTGAACGTATTTTATTTTTTCTTTCCCCCCTTAGCAGCTCTAATTAATTCAATACAAAATACACAATACATTTTTTCTAACTTTTTTTTTAACAATTTAATTTGATTTAGCTAAAATTCAGTTACTATTGGTTACATCACAGAAAGCTACAGGTATAGCAAATGTATAGAAACATAGCATGCTTGTATGTTGTCTGTCTGTCTGGCTGTCTGTCTGTGTTAAATGTCCTAACTATGTTTAATGTGTAATACAATCTCGGCTGGGTCTTGGTCCTCGTCTTTAGTTGTTTTTTTATGTCGGCAAATGTTGTGATTTGTTGTTGTTTTGCTTATCACATCACTTCATTTTTTCGCTTTCTGGTTCTTCACGCAATAATCAGAGCCGCAAGTAGTACTTTTTTCTCCCAGGCTTGAGAGATGTAAGTTAAATCCTCGAATCCAATTTTTTCCTTGGATTTTTTTT